GAACTTTGAACTAGTTCACGTAGAAAGAGAACTTTCCCAACACTGCCCGCAACCCTAGCGATCCCACTTGGGGTAAGCATGAAGGAAAATGGATGAATGGATGGATGGTTGAATCTATTACCAGGCAGACACTATAACTCTGCTTTGAGAACTCATCCAAAACTAACACTTTAATAAAAATGTTAGCCTACAATTAATATCTGCTCTGTGTTTCTCACAGTGTGGAACGTCATTAAATCTCTAAAAAAGTGGCGTCCAGATTCAGTCCTAAGGGCAGCTATCTGGGCTGCTCAGTCTAACAGTGGGTAGCTCTGCTGCCTTGCGGCAAGATGGATCCGGGTTCAATTCCCGGCGCTGGGTCTTTCTGCATGGAGTTTCCATGTTATCCCGGCGCACGTGTGGGTTCTCTCCGGGTACTCAAGCTTCCTCCCACAGTCCTAAAACATGACTGTAGGGTTAATTTTCTAAATTCTCCTTAGGTGTGTGAAGGGTTGTGTGTCTCTGTTGCCCTGCGATAGACTGGCGACATGTCGAAGGTGGGCCCCGCCTCTCGCCTGTAGACAGCTGGAGATAGGCACCAGCATCCCTCGCGACCTCAACTGACAGAAAAAAAATGGATGGATGGGCTGCTATCTGCCATGATGAAATTTCATTTCAACAAAGAAAAACTGCAACAGAGGAACATCAAGGAACTAGCAGATTTAGTACAGTAATCAAGTACTCCCAAATGTACTTTGGGAAGTAGTGTGATGATGGTCAGACTTCTTCTCATATGATTTTAAATGCCTTTCTTATTTAGTAGAAATAGTTTTAACTCACTGTCAGAAGAATTTTGTAACATAATGCGTTCCTGAAGCCTGATGCCACCCTTTATGATAAAGATGTGAAAATCATATTTTTACCACACAGATCAGCAGCCTGCATATTAATCCGATTTCTGTGCGACCAAATCAGGTGTTTTAATTAAACCTTTTGTTTTTTAATGAGTAGATGTCAGGCTCCCACCACAAATATTCATTTGTTTTATATACTGTAGTAAAATCAGCTTTAGGTTAGGAAGATGAATAAATGTTTTCTGAAACGTTACAGCGGAAACAATCTTTGTAGGTCAAACAGATTTAAAAAGCAGGCTTCCTGACCAATCGGCTTCCCTCTGTCCTCCAACCAGGTGAGCGTCTGGCACAGCTCTGACACAGAGGAACACATCAGCCACATGGTGGCGCCTCCTCAGTACATGCAGGTGGTCCATCATCCATCTATGATCAGCGACCTCTACCCCAACCATGCCTCAGGTAGGAAAACACATTTGTAAGATATTTGCACCAAACAAAGGTACACATTTCTTTTATTTTGATTTATAAATTTTTTTTATTTATTCTTCCATAACTGCCTGAACTATCTTTTACTGCATGATGCAATCTTCCAGGATTCACTTCCATCACGTTAACCAAGCAGAATTTGGAACAAATGCTTTGATTGGATGAAATAAAGCAGAGTGTGATTGGTTGATGGTGTGGTTCATCTATACAGTTGGTCGAGCTTGAGGCCAGTGGGTCGATCGCGAGGACATTGGGTCGATGGCGAGCACAGTGGGTTGAATGCATGGAGAGTGGGTCAAACGTGAGGACAGAGGGTGGAGCGAAAGGGCTGCGGGTGGAGGCGAGGACAGCAGGTTGACGGCGTGGACAGTGGGTCCAGCGAGAGGCCAGCGGGTGAAGGGCGAGGCCAGCGGGTGGAGCGCAAGGCCAAGCGGGTGGAACGAAAGGGCTGCGGGTGGAGTGCGAGGGCTGCGGGTGGAACGCGAAGCCAGCGGGTGGAACGCGAGAGCTGCGGGTGGAGTGTGAGGGCTGTGGTGAACGGCAAAGCCATCGGGTGGAGCGCGAGGGCTGCGGGTGGAGTGCGAGGGCTGCGGGTGGAACGCGAAGCCAGCGGGTGGAACGCGAGAGCTGCGGTGGAGTGTGAGGGCTGTGGTGAACGGCAAAGCCATCGGGTGGAACGCGAAGGCTGCGGGTGGAGTGCGAGGGCTGCGGGTGAAGCGCGAAGCCAGCGGGTGGAACGCGAGGGCTGCGCGTGGAGTGCGAGGGCTGCAGGTGAAGCGCGAAGCCAGCGGGTGGAACGCAAGGGCTGCGGGTGGAGTGCGAGGGCTGCGGGTGAAGCGCGAAGCCAGCGGGTGGAACGCGAGGGCTGCGCGTGGAGTGCGAGGGCTGCAGGTGAAGCGCGAAGCCAGCGGGTGGAACGTTAGGGCTGCGGGTGGAGCGCACACTTCTGATGTTTAAACCCTGAATACCTGTCTCACCGCGCGCTCGGATTGGTGCCTGTGCACTCGAATCAGTGGCACAATCATTGCGCCTCTTCCAGTGACGGACGGACTCAGTGGTGTCGCTGGGTTACCATAGCGACAATGTATGTTAACGATGAAGCGCAGCACATATGCCCAAACCCTCGAGCTACTGCTTTATTAAAAGGCGTTACTATCAGCTGTTCAGTTTTTCAGGAGACTAAGTTCATCGCATACAATCAGTTTTTAGTTTCTTTATCACCATTTAAACCTAAATAAATAAATACCCCCGAAATGATCTTGGTGTCATCAATGGTAGTTAGAAATTGTCAATTAATCATTTTATTTTAATGTCACATTAGGGCCAGACTAAAGAGAATTTTGATTTTACTCTTGCTTGAGGTGTTTTTGTCAAAATGCTATTGTAATTAAGTAAATATAACTAATTACTGCCCATGTCTATGGATGGAAATGCGTCTAATTTTCTGTTTTTCTGACATTTTAAAGTTAAATATTTATTGAGGAAATAATGCATGAGTGAATTTTCTTTGAAATGTTAGTTGAAGTAAATTCTTGTTTATGGGGAAAAACGAACCTGATTGAAATGTTGATGAAAAGAAAAAAACGATCAGACAAAAAATCAATAATACCTGAAATCGTGACTTAAAAATGCAAAGCTGCTTGAGAAATGAAGTTTTAAATTTCGCCAGATATCTGTCTCAGTGGTAAAAAACACGGTAAGATCCAAGAGGGATGCTCAGTTCCTCTTTCTAAGCTTGTTTATGACTCGGCGGTACGTTCTCAACATGGCTTCTTCTCCTCCCTCTGAGCAAAGCAGCGATCCGACATACAAAGAGCGGAGGGTGGATGAGGGGAGCCGGTCTAAATCTACCACATGTGATTTAATTATTCATCAGAGTCTAATGGATTCTACTTAGAGTCCCGGCGAGTTCAGCGGCCGAGGCTGTTAATGGAGCAGAGGGCTGAGACGTGGAAGGAGGTCAGAGGAGCAGAGGACGCCGTTTGCAGCAAAACCTAAAGAACTAGAAGCTCAACAAATGCAGATCAACCATTTGGCTCATGATCCTGCTGCAGTTGACTCCCCAGATCTTAAGCTTGACTAAATTTAGGAGGTGGCAATGTAAAGAATCTCTCAGAAGATCAAAGGGTCTGAATTTGGTGTAATAAAAATCTACAAACTAGAACGAACCGAGTGATCAGGCGAAGAGCTGAGGGAGCGGCGGTCTCATTAACCGCAAGCTTCCACTCACCAGGAAGGACTGCTGGAGAGAGAAATCAGGAATCTCACAGACAGCTGGAGATCAGAGGCAACCCAATAAACAAGTTCAGCTCAGCAGCCATGCCTTAGCGTGAGCTGGAACATCCTCTACCTCTGGAGTCTTCCTTCATAGGACGTTAAATAATGCAGATTCAAACATGATTCATTCTTATTTTTAAGCAAATCCATGCACAACGCTCAGATTTAGCTACAACCTCTTCTCCCTGTTTTATTATTTGCTTTTTTTCTATAAAAGATCCGCTCTGTTTTTAGCATAAATCATTTGCACAGAGCTGTCTGTCAAATGTTTGCATTAATATCAAACAGGCCAAGAAGGTAACATCTCAGTGTTTATGCAGCCTGCTCGGCATCTTCAATTATGTTGTTCTTCCCTAAAGAACTGAACTGTGTTTTACGTACCTGGGAACATTTTTTGTTGCATTAATTTCATGAACTTTAATGTTTTTTTTATTTGGTGATTTTTGAAAAGACGTGTTTCTATCAATTTTTTTATGTACATTTGAGGCTCATTAGAAGCAAAATTCGAATAATTGAATAAATTCAACTAAAAGTTTCAGTTTCAAATTATTTGTTTTCATTAGCAAAACATTTTTCATTCAGTTTTAATTGGGGGGGTGCAAATCTATTTTCAGCTTCAGTTTTTTTATTTTTTTAAGGCAAATCGAGTTTATTCGTAAACCGCAATTCAGTGCAAAGACAATTCAAAGTGCTTTACGTGAAAGTTATTGTGGAGAATTCTCGAGATTATTTTACACGACCCACCCTCTCCACTTTAAGAAAACAAAAAAATGCGAGTGCAAGAGCTGATTTCTCCTCGTGCACGCTCTGTTTAAAGGTGCTGTTCTCATAGCTTATAAGAGCTTACTGTGTCCGAACGTCCGCCCTAACTCCTAAATCCCTCAATCACTATATAGAGCAGTGACTATATAGTGAACTTTATAGCAAACTGACCGTTCAGACAGATGATCACTGCTTTTTGCTCCGTTGGTCAAGTAACTCCTTCTCCACTGCGCGGTGCCTGCGCTGTCATGATTTTATTCAAAGATCTGACTCGAATGCAGAAAACCAAACAGAGAGACCAAGAGAAGGTTTAACAGGTTTATTTAGAACTGGTAGAAAAGGGTCCAGTGCTCCTCTGAACACTGGCGAACTGGGACTGAAAAGTGAAGGGGAAGTTCCAGTGGTTAGTTCAAGCTCAGATGGAAATTTGACCTTCAGTTTGCAAAAGGGAATAAAGGCAACAGGACTCACTTTTCCAGAAAAGGTGTCTTTCTCTGAATCCAGTTGGTGTGGGTTGTTCTAGTAATAGACTTGCTCGTTGGAGGGCGGACAGGGTTTACCCAGGTTGAGGTGTTTCTTAGAGAAGCTGACTGCCACTTAGATTTCCAATGGTACTTGAACGGTTTCTTGTGGAGATGAATCCCCTGCTCAGTTTGAAGCTCAAACAATCCTTTGGGGAAAAGTAGATCCAAACCTCCAGTTTGAATCCCCAGCTCAGTTGAAGCTCAGTTGATCCTTCCAGGGGGGAGAAGGTCCAAAACATCCAGTTAGGAGGATGACAAACAAAAACAACAAGGTTAAGACTCAGGTTGACAAAACTCAGTTTGACTCAGCTAAACTCAGCTTGGCTAGAGTACCCAAAACTGGCAAACACTCCGGCATCGAGGTAGTGGCAGTCAGCAGCTTAAGAGTACCCCGGTAATGAGGCAACCATCCGCAGGTGTGTGAGAGGGCCAACGAGAACAGGCGCCACCTGGTGGTGGAGGAAGAACATACAAAAACACAACCCACACAAACTGGATTCCTAACATGCGCCATCTTTGTTATTAGTTGCCGCTGTTGGGTAGCGACAGAATACTGGTGTGACAGCAAATCCCATAATGCTTTGCTAGGAGAGCTCTCCGTGCAAAGCATTCTGGGATATATCTTCCTCTTCTGAGGCATTTCTTTTTTTTCTGATACACTTCATAGACACCTTTTCTCTAACGACCCTCGGCCATTTTCCAAGAACCGCGGTGAGAAAGGTAAGCTTCAATGACTGTCTGAAACCGTAGCTCACTACGGATATACGCCTGAAAGTGCGCATGCGCAAAAAATGATGGATGACGGGACGAGCACGTACGACGGCCTTACGTAAACGTATTACCAGAATGATTGACAGTTAGGAGGACCACTTATTTAGATGATCCACCCGGAAATAAAAGATTGTCCTCTGTCCCTTTAATTACACAATAAAATAGCAGAAAATAAAAGAAGAATAAAAAGCAAGTCAAGATGAAAACATGATAATGCTAAGGAGGAACTAGCAGCTTCCTGGAAATGGAGTAGAGTGAAAGTTCAAGTACTCCCCCAAAAATTGACTAATAAAAAAGTAAAGATACTCAAAAAGTACTTAGTTACTGTAATCAAATAAATATATTTTTGGAAGTAGTGTGATGATGGCATGGCATGTTTTTATCAAAGACCAAACTTCTTTTCATATTATTAAAAATACCTTTCTTAGTAGAAACAGTCTTCACTGACTGTCGGAAGAACGATGTAACATAACGCGTTCCAGAAGCCGCCCTTTATGCGAAAAACTTGAAAATTCTTTAGTTACCTCACAGATCAACAATTTACAATCAGATTTCTGTGCATCAAAATCAGGCATTTTTTTAGGCTCCCACCACACATTTTTTTTGTATTATATTTTAAAATCTGCTTTACGTTAGGAAGATGAATAAAAATTTGTCTGAAATGTTACAATTTAATAGCGACAAGCGTTAAGAAGTCTTATTTTTATGATGTTAACCAATGGAGATGCGTATGATCAAAACAGCGGGCTAGGAGACCAAGGATGTAAGAGAATGAGTTGGTTGCAGATGGACACGTTCAGGGGAGGAGGGATTCCTTTTTTCCCACGTTTTAGACACGAAAAGGCTTAAACGTGTTCATCACTGCAGCAGGCCATCTGCATGATGGCTACCAGCGTTTTGTCTAACTAGTCAACAACAGTTTGTGTTCCTGGCTGGTTCAGTTTTGGTTTGGCTGGAAGAAACTAGAAACAATCTTTTTAGGTCAAACAGGTTTAAAAACCAGGAGTCCTGACCAATCAGCTTCCCTCTGTCCTCTTATCTAAAGTAGGAGGACAGAAGCTAAAGTGCTGGTCGACAAAACCAACCAACCAACCAACCTCCTCCTTTTTCTCTCCTGTGTTCCTCAGGCGTACCGAGTGCAGCCACTGTGGTGATCGTCATGTGCATCGCCGCCCTGGTGGCGGTGGTGGTGCTGGGAATATACCGCATCCATGTAACCCACCAGCAGGAGGTGAGGCAGGCGGAGACGGCCAAAGAGGCAGACGCAAACTGGGACCACTCGGCTCTGACGATCACTGTCAACCCCATGGAGGTAAGAGGAGGTGGTTTGAATGTCTGCAGAGCAAAGAAGAGTCTCTGCTGCTGAAGTTCTCAGTTAGTTCAAAGTAGTGATGGTGAGATGAAGCCTCATGAGGCATTGAACCGTTTGGGCTAATTGCTTCAACGATCCCCACAGTTCATGATGTGAATATGTCACCCCCCCTACTGGTGGATTTCATAACTACAGTTAGTAATATAATCTGTGATTTTTTTGCTGTTTTTTTTTTTTTATTATTTCTCAGTTTATGTTCTCTTATTAATGTTTGGTGTGTATAATAAAATCCTTTTTAAGGCTTTTTATGAGTAAAAGGTCTTTGAAGACACAATGGGGATTTACCATTAGGCATTACTAGGCAGCTGCCTAAGGCCCCAAGTTCCTGGGCGGCCATAAAACTATGGTTAATACAACTATTCCTTATTTGTGCACCTTAATTATGTTTTTTCTTTCGCTAAAATGCCATCAGAACGCTTATAATATAAAGTGTATCTCAGCCCCCCCCTTTCAGTGTCCACCATATTGGATCAGTCCATTTGCTGCACATGTTCAGAAAGGTCCAAACAGACAGCAGCAAACCATTTGAAAACAAACCATGCAAAGAGCAGTGTTGCCAACTTAGCGCTTTAGTCACTATATTTAGCCACTTTTCAGACCCCTCTAGCACTTTGATTTCTAAAAAGCTCCTAGCGCCAAATCTAGAGACTTTTTTCTGCTACTGGAGACTTTGGAGACAACATCTAAAAGCAGCGAACTCTGCTCTCCAGAGCGAGTAGATTGGTAACCCCGCCTCCTGCTCTCCTCTATCTTGTCTGCTGTCATGATTCATGCAGCTATTATTTCATCCAAATGAAAAATGGAGAACAGATAAGCAGATCATGGCTTGTCTACAGTGAAAAGAAGGACTGGGTTATTTACTTTGGCCTTTTTGGAAACACAGGAAGGAGCAATCAGCTAAGTGAGCTTAGTGCTTGGAAAAAATCTTTCATTCCTTTAGAGACAGCATGAAAAGTCAGCTGAGTACAAAACATAGAGAGGAAAACAAGAAGAAAAGGGACAAGAAGAGAGGGACACAACCTAGAACAGATAATGGATGTCTATTCTATTAACATTTCTACATCTGGATAATGGGGCTGTTTTATGTGTTGTCTTTTCAATTCAGAGGGGCCCCTGCCTGTCTTCGCCTAGGGCCCCAAATTTGCTAAATCCGCCTCTGGTAGAGAATAATATTTTAAGCACTGTTTTTCTCTCATTTTAGTGGAGTATGTTCAGTTTATTTCTATAGCGCCAATTCACAACACGTCATCTGAAGGCACTTTCCAGTTCACCAGATCATCCAGTCAAATTGATTCAAAGTTTTCTGTCAAAGTAAAACCAGTCCCTCACATTAAGCACGCTTGTAGCGACAGTGGAGAGGAAAAACTCCCTTTTAAGAGGAAGAAACCTCCAGCAGAACCAGGCTCAGTGGGAGCGGCCATCTGCTGAGGCCCACTGGGGTTCATTTCCACTATTATGCTAACGATACCCAGCTATATCTATCTATAAATCCAGATGAAGCTTATCTGTTACATAGGTTACAGGCATGTCTTAACGACATAAAAACCTGGATGACTCTTAACTTTCTGCTCCTGAATGCAGATAAAACAGGAGTTATAGTCTTTGAAAAAGAAGCTGATTAGTCAGTCACTTCATTTGGATGGGATTAAACTGATTTCAGATAATAAAGTAAAAAATCTTGATGTTATTTTTGATCAGGACTTCAGTTTTTCTCTCTCAGTAAACAAACATCCACACCGAAGAGTGTTGTTGTCACTGGTGCCACTTGGCTAAGGCAAACAGACTCTGGACAAAGCCAGTTTGCTTCAGCAGGGATGCAGAGACAGCTGATTTCTTGTTGCATCTCTGCTGCAAATATCTGTATTTGCCAGATTTGTTTTTGCTTTGGTTGAAATAATTCTCAACTTCTAAACTAAACTGTCATCCTTTTTGGTAAAGGGATTGATGAGAAAATAAAACCTATAAATGAACAATAAGAATAACAGATGAGGCTCTAATTCTCCTGTGTTTTTATAAATGCGCACAGCTAAAAGCTGGGAATGTCTCTAAAAGAACAATAAATAAAACAAGACTTGATAAAAATGTTAAGAAAAGTCTTTTGATCAAAACCCAACTGCCTGATTGGACGTTGGCATGCTGTCGTGATGCATGCAAGCGTGCCACAACAGTTTGGCAGACCTTCTCTTGGCTGGTATTAAAGCACTCCTCATGTTTGTTTTGGGACACAGAAGAGAGTCATTAATCCACTAAATGTAAGACTCAATCACGTTTCAGCGACTACCACGCAGAGAACTGGCACCGCTAACTGCTCCCATCGGGACACGTTTTATAATCACCACATTACCTGCTTTGCTCTCAAAAGTACATCAGCGTGACAAATGCAGCCGAAGGCAGCTATTTACATACGCTGTTTCAAAAGGCAGGTGAACTTTAAATCAGACTAAACTGTTATCAATTTAGGTCATTTAATGTTAGCACGGTTATTTCTGTTTGCTAAATAACAAAATAAGGAAATCCCAGAATATGTGTGACGCAACGTCTCAGGTACGCTGGTTCCTTGAGCCAAATCATGAAATGAAATAATGCAACAAAAACAAAGATAACAATAAATATTTGGGTACATTTGCAATGAGCAATCATGTAATTTTTAACAGACTTACTGTTGGATGAAACCCATGGATTCAAGGAGCTTATTGCTTATTGGTTACCCTAGGGCTAAGCTTATCGATAAAAAAAAATGCAAATTGATCGATATCGATAATTATTGAAAAGATTTGAAACCATATTTTATGTGCAGCTCTGCCTGGACTTTTTATAATATTGCTAATGAT